GTGGGAACATGTCTGCTGGGAGGGATGGCAGAGCAGACTCTGAAGCTCTCGAGGCCATATGAGCCAGAGTCCCTTCTCCTTCTTGGATTGCTTGAAATTCTTCCCACCTTTATTTACCACCTCTGCTGTAGAGGCAGTGCAGAATAGCATGCTGAGATGCAGGCTTCCCTTGAGAAGGGGCACAAGAATGCCAAAGAGGATGCTGACACTTGCCCCTTTAGGCAGACCTAAGCTTCATGTGCAAAGGCTTTTCTACCATCACATTGAGCTGATTAATATCCTCTTAGGAGAGTGTGCAGAAGCTCTAGGAATACATTGCCTGGATTCCAATCCTGGCCCGTCAGCTAACTAGTGTTGTTGCCTTGAGCAAATCACTGAGCTGCTCTGGGCTTCAGTTTCCTCATCTATACACAAGGATAATGACAGTACCAGCCTCATCACCTTGTTGTGGAGGCTAGTGGAGCCAACAAGTGAAGCATTTGTATCAGGACCTGACATAGTGATAATAACTGTGGTATACTAATAAGTATCACAGTTAATAGTACTAAACTGCAGACTCTTTGAGATCATTGCCTATATTTTTGAATTTGCCATATAGACACTATTTAGCCAAGTACCTGGGACCAGTAAAAGTTCAGTGAGAAGGTTGAATCTGTGCCTCACTTACTTCTCCACAGAGCATTTTCTAAAAATCAAACCTTAATAACTGACATTCGAGTTTTATATTTCTAGTGAAAAGTGTGTTAATAAAAGGTCAGGTTGAAAACATCAGATTGAAACTATACCCCATAAAGAGTGTTTAGGCCAAAATGCTTACATCTGAAGCTATATTGCCATTGAGAGGAAATAGGTACATAGACACATATTTGTATGTATGATTTTTATGACAAACACCTATCTTAAAATTTTCATTTCTTTTTGGCTATCCAATGAATGATCTGCTATTAAGGACTGGAAATTGATCCACTCTCTGCACAACAGTCCTTTTCTAAATGAGCTATACCCTAGTCAGCACTCTTATCCCTACTCCTACCCTGGCTCTACCTGCCCCCCCCATTAGCACTGAGTACCTTATTACATTCTATGTGGTTTACTTATCTATCATGTTTATTATTTACTATATGCTTGCCTCCAGCTAGACGATACATAAGAGGAGGAGTCTTTATTTCACTAATATATTCTAAATGCTTAGAATAGTACTGGCTTTAATAGTGTTGAGAAGAAATAAATCTTTATTGCCTAAATAAATGATCTGATTCCATATGCTTAGTATCTATCTATCTATCTATCTATCATAGTATATCTATCCCTCTCTCAATATAGAAAAATACCTTGAATTTGAAGGCACAGGTTTTCCTGGGTGCCTTCAATTCATTCTATTGCTTCTATTCCTAGTTTTCATTTTATATTCCTGGTTTTAATTTAGTAAGATTATGCCTTCTTTGGTGAAAGTAAGTTTAGATGGTACTAATAATATTTGATCCTCAAAAATCAAAATACTGACAGGGCATTGGAACATAGGGTGTTCGAAGAGAGGTATAATTGTTCAAAGAACTCTGTGTCAGTGTCACATAAACCTACAGCCTTTCCTTTCTGTGGGAAGCCCTAGAATGTATTCCCTTCAGATGGGCAATCTCCTATGTAAGACACTTATGAAACCTCTTGACTCTTCAAGCTGCCATTATTTCAATCTATTTGGAATGAGCCTAGCTTTTAGTAGGGCACATTTGACCTTTGTGGGCCTGAACATTGAAGAGAGAATTTGAAAATGTGGCTGGATTGAACTTGCTAGTGCATGGCACTGTTTAAATGAAAGCAGCTCACTGATGAGATGGATAAAATTTTCTTTGAATTCCATCAAATTAAATATTTCAGAGTGCTCTAAATAAGTAGTCTCTTTCCTAAATGTCACTGGTGATTTTATCTTCTTAGGAGATGCTAATGATCTATCTAATGTGCTGCTGTGTTGCTACACAAATACCACCATAATTTGGAACCTTCTCTGAATTCCCCTGACATGAGGAAAATTCAATTTTGCTTCTCTTTCCAGCCACTTAATCCAGGTGTGAGAACTATTCCCCAAAAAACTAGGAAGTTAGAAGGTGTATGATTTTACTTAATGATTTACAATACAGTAAACACAAATCTATTATTTAACAGGGTCCATAAGCTAACAGTTTTGAGTTGATTTTGTTAATCATTTGTTAATAACTAATTAATTATTGCAGTGTAGAGAATTGAACTCAGGGCTTCACCCCTGGTAGGCAAGTGTTCTACCATTGAGTTACATATCCATTCCTCATTTATTAATACTTTTTTATTTTATTTTATTTTAGTTGCTTGTGGTCCTTTATTTTATTTGTTTATTTATATATGGTGCTGATAATCGAATGCAGAAACTCATGTGTACAAGGCAAGTGTTCCACCGCTGAGCTACAACTCCAACCCCATAATTTATTAATACTTTTTTAAAAAGCTTTATTAATAAGGTTAAACAGAATTTTCACAGACTTGGTTGGTATAGATGGTTCAAAAGTCTTGGAAAATAGATGCTATTAACTTTACTAGTCCATGGCACAGAGTAGAATCTCTTAATATGCATAAAAGAAAAAGAGATGATTAGAATGGATGCCTTCTTCTCGAAGGTCTTTTTCTTGGGAGTGGATACTTTGTTTTCAAGTGACATTAGGACTGCAGAGTGCAGGAGGAGACTCAGATCAAGGTTGGTAAAAGGGACAGAGAATTGGCAGTACTTGCCCAGTCTCTTGAAGATCTTAGGGAATGAGGGCAATGGAATCAATTAAGCAGAGGAAGAAGTGGGATCAGTTAAGGTACTTTTTAAAAAAATACTCTGCTTTTAAAACATTTTTAAAAATTCCAAGATCATGAAGCCAACAAGGACTTACTTATAAATTCAGAGGAAAAGGGAATGTGGTTCTATGAGACAAGGGAGAGCTATAGGATGAAAAAGAGTCCAACTTTTTTCTTCTGATTTGGTCCCATAACTTCTCTAAAATGAAGAAGACAACTGAACTCTCACAGTCAGCCTGGGAATGTGGGTGTGGCTTTTTAATTAAAAAATATTTTTTATGACCTGGCGTGTTGACACATGCCTGTAATCCCAGCGGCTTAGGAGACTGAGACAGGAGAGTCTCAAGTTCAAAGCCAGCTTCAGCAACTGTGAGGCACTAAGCAACTCAGTGAGACCCTGTCTCTAAACAAAATACAAAATAGGGATGGGGATGTGGCTCAGTGGTTCAGGACCCCTGAGTTCAATTCCCAGTACCAAAAAAAAAATTTTTTTATAAGGAAAGTAAAGGGATGGAATGCCACTGTTCCCTGTTTATGGTACAACCAACTTCAAAACACACAGCAGCATCTTCCCCAATGTGTCATATTCCCTTACCAAAACTAAAGTTCTTGCTCCATAATGAGAAATAAAATATTTCAAATGACAATAGTTTGAGTGAATGAACATATTAGAGTGAGCAATGTTGATTTGAAACAGTCCAACAACCTCTCTCAAAGAAGTAGAAAGGACAGCTGGATGTGAGCTTGCAGACTTAGGGTTTGCCTGGGGTCTGCATGTTTATCTGCAAAACATCTCCTTAAAAATTTCTGTTGCTATGGAAGAAAATTATAAATGAGAACATAAAAGCAATCTCATCTTGCCGATTCTCTCTCCCTGGCAGAACGAGACGCAATCATTTTGCAAAAATGATAATGCTAGTTTTGCTGTAAGATATAGAAAAATAGTAAAATGTTTGCTTCCCAAAATAGATTTTATCATGGAGAAGAGAAGAAAATCTAACAATGCTAGCCTGGATTATATGAAACATGTCCTGAAGTAACCAAAGTGATCATGTTAAATCTCTTGTAGGGAATCCAAAGCATAGAACAGGTAAATCCTTGTCCTGGTAGCCCAAGAGAGGCTGCACCACGTTCTCTGAGGCTGAGTCAAGCTCTTCAGAGGCAGAGGCCAGGCTCTCATGAACCTTTCTGCTTCCAGCAGCTTCTTTGTTTTCTTTAGCCTGAGCCTCTGAGGCCTCTGGTTTTACACCTCCCACAGGACTTTGGTCTCTGTCACTGGATAAGTAGGTTTGTTCAAGCAGAATTTGCATATTTAGAATTCTTTGGTTATTTTTACCTCTGACTGATGTGACCTTAGACAATTTGTTTTCAAGAGTCACTTCCTTCTCCTGGACATGAGCTATTTACTGATTGTCATATAATGCTTTATGAAAGGTGATTTGTGAATTGGTAGCCTGAGATAAAATAGCAACATTAAATACCTCTTATGATTGATCACATAATTCTCTTCCTAAATAAAATAACCACATTTTAATTTTTTTTCAGTGTTGAAAATGCCATTAGTAAACCATAAAATAAATAACCCCAGTTTTTTACCACCTTTCAAAATACATATTTCATTTACAAGGCATTGTTATACAGACGCATGGCCATTGGGATTGGATTTGATTTTTTCCACTTGGGTAGCCTCATCTCCTCAGCTAAGGTGGCTAGTTCTTCAGGTAAATAATGTAGTCCCTGTGATCACAACATGAATAGTTACTGAGTATCACCGATTCTGGTAAGTTCTTCATATATACAATCCCAGTTAGTCCCTACCAGAGTCTTAAGAGAGAACTAAAGCTTGGAGTGGTAAGTTCCATGACCCTGTTGAAGCTGGTCTCTGAATGAAGGTCCCTGTCACACAAAAGAACATGCTCTTAACTTTTTGCCTTGACAATAACACTGCAAGTTGTCATCTTGGTTAGCTTTGAGTCATGGATTCACAATGACCTAGGGCAGCCCTCTCTCTCTTTGAGGGTTAGAATTCCTCATTTTGCACTGATATTGGCAAACTTTAACATCTATCCATTGACTCTAGTTGTCTCTTTGGGACCTCTAACTCTTTCCAAATCTATTGTTATGACCAGAGTGGCACAGGGTGATGAATTTTAAGAACATAGTATCAAACCAGGTTTGGTGATACATACCTGTAATCCCAGCTCCTTTGGAAACTGAGGCCGGAGGACTGATTGCAAGTTCAAGACTAGCTTCAGCAACTTTGTGAGACCTTGTCTCCAAATGAACAAAGGGCAGGGGATGTAGCTGAGGAGTACAGTGTCCATGGGTGGTTCAATCCCAGTACTCTTCCATTCAAAAAAAGAAAAAGAAAAAGAAAAAAAATTAACATCAGCCTAGTGCATGCAAACATGATAGTCACCACTAACAAATAATTGTCCGTCTTTTTTGATTCCAGCATGAGATCAGCTTCAAAGTGCACTATGGACTTAATCCTGTGTCTTCCGTTAACAAAGCTGAGGCTTTTATTAAGTAACTTAATTTTTCAGTAAGCAATTACCAAGCTTTCTGGACCTGAAAAGGCTTACTAAACTCTTTCTCTTTCTCTGTGTGTGTGTATAACTAGAGGTGGAAGAGGGGATTGGAACAAGTCAGACCCAATTTTAAAGGGATGTGTTTCAGATAATACAAGATTACTTGTTGAGATACCTGATGTCTTGTGTTTTGCCTTTAGATTTTGACCTTACTTTATGCCACCAGGAATTTAACCCTTTTTTACTGATTTTTTCAAAAAAATAAATGACAAGTGGCATTACAATTCTTATTACACATATACAGCACAATTTTTCTTATCTCTGTTTGTATATAAAGTAGGTTGACACCCAGTTCGTGTCTTCATACATATACTTTGGATAATGATGTCTATCATATTCCACCATCCTTGCTAATCTCCTGCCCCCTCCCTTTCCTTCCCACCTCTCTGCCCTATGTAGAAATCATCTATTCTTCCCATGCTCCCCCTCCCTACCCCACTATGAGTCAGCCTCTTTATATCAGAGAAAACATTGGGCATTTGTTTTTTTCGATTGGCTAACTTTACTTAGCATTATCTTCTCCAGCGCCATCCATTTACCTGCAAATGCCACGATTTTATTCTCATTTATTGCTGATTGTGTATTATTCCATTGTGTATATATGCCACATTTTTTATCCATTCATCTATTGAAGGACATCTAGATTGGCTCCACAGTTTACCTATTGTGAATTGTGCTGCTATAAACATTGATGTGGCTGTGTCCCTGTAGTATGCTGTTTTTAAGTCCTTTGGGTATAGACCAAGGAGAGGGATAGCTGGGAGGAGTTTATAATAAATTTTATCCACTATATTGATTTTATTATACTTTATTAATTATTTCTATGTTGGAAACCATTTTTTTTCAATCTTATTATAAAACTAGAGGATTTAGGCTTTCTTAGTTTTTCCTCTTCTATGCTTATTTTATTCCTTTGCCTTAACTTTCACTGCTAAGTTAAATACCCTCTTTTATAGAATGAAGTTTGTGCATTTCACTTTCATTGTGCATTTCATTTTCATTGATGATAACAGATCATTTCCAATGATTTATGCCAACAAGGAACACTATAGAATCTATTATTTACTATAAATTTTAATGTCTACAAAACTGTTACATATCTCTCAAACATGCAAACACTGTGTAACTGCCAAACTTGACTTTGTAAGAAATTGTCAAACCTAATACCTCTTTATTACTATAATAATGTGAGGACTTCCTAGCTGAATCCTAAAGCCTGTCTTTGTGTTAGCAATTTTCCTTTCCTCAATTAATAACTTCCAATTTGACTTCCAGTTCTTTGAGTTAGTCTAAAAATAGGTTCAATGTCATTGAAGTGCTTTACATAAGAGTCTTAAATTTTAATTCAAATAAAGGGTAAAATACTATAAATATTTTTGAAGTGCTATGGAATATGTTGCACATCCCCAGAGAAAATGTCAGGTTAAGATGTCATCTGTAGGAAGCTGTTCTAGGTCTCTTTATCTTGGTGATAAATATCAGAAGGGATCCAGCAGGGGGAGATTTCTAGATTTAAAAGTTCCCAGGGCTTTATGGAGAGTGATAGATCCATGGTGAGTCCAGAAGGCCAGTGTTTCTTTTGTGTTTAGCAGTTCCTTACATTTCTTTATGTTCTCAAATAATATATTGCTTAAATTTGCATTTTTGACATTTGTATGAAAGGAAACATATTGTAAGTATTTTAAGACTCGCTCTGTTCACTTTTTATATTAGATTTATTCATGTTGATGCATATAGCCACAGTTTGTTCATTTATTCTTTGAACATTTGGTAGTTTATTCATTTCTATTTTGGGTAAAGGATTTTTCAGTTGTTTCTAGTTTTGCTTTACTTCATTATTAAAAACAATGCTCTTCTAAATATGTTTGTTTGTGTTTCCTGGTAAATATATGCAAAACTTTCTCTAGACTAATATTTGGATTAGAAATTGATGGATTTTTAGGATATGTGGATTCTAATTAGCTAGGTAGTGCTAAGTTATTTTGCAAAGTAGCTTCTTATACTCTCCACAGCAGTGAACAAAAATCCCCTTTGTGTCAGCACTTTATATTGTTTGGGTATTTAATTTTGTCATTTTGGTAGATTTGAAAGGAAATCTTGTGGTCTGATACAGATTTCTCTGATTAGTAATGAGTGTAGCTCCTTTCTATATTTTGCCATTTGTGTTTCTGCTTCTGTGAAGCTTGCTTTTTGCCCTTTTTTCTAGTAGGTTTTTCTTTTTTTTAAAAATTGTATTTTTTGTTTTTTTTTACCTCTTTTGTATATTATATATCTTTCAATTGACTTCTCCTCATCCTTAATTCTGAAGTACTTGAATTTATTTAATCTTTAGGGCCTGCATTTCTTTGTCTTGCTAAAAATTTCTTCCTAATCTGGAGTTCATAAAGAAATTCACTGACATTTTCTTCTAAAATATTTTCAAGTTTTGCTCTTTTTATTTATGCCCTTCAATTCAATTTTATTTTTTTCCCATTTGATCCTGCATGGTTTCCTTCTTGGTCCTTCCTACTCTTCTGTCTAATCTCCATCATAGAAAATGCTTGTATAGTCACATAATTCTGTTAATGGATTCTGTCTCACTTCTCTTAATCTCTTTCCTCTTTCTGTGCCAACACCATATAATCACTTGTGCTTGTAAAATTCTGAGCAATTCTCGCAGCAATAACTAAATAGCTTCCTTAAAAATTGCCTCCTTTTGTACTCTTTGTAAAAGTTTGCACAAAATTGCAATCATTTATTCTTTGAGCACTTGGCAGAAACTTGCCTGCACAGCCATCTGGGTGTGGCATTTCTTTATATGAAGATGCTTAATTACCAATTAATTCATTTCACAAAAGGAATTTTCAGGTTGGTAGAACATCACCCATAATGTTCTTTTGTTGCACTATTCTCTGTTGTACCTGTAGTTGTGTTCTTATTTTAATCACATTTTGTTTATTGGTACTTTACCCTTCTCTCTTATTAAATTAATATTTTAAAAAGGATGATTATCAGTTTAATATTCTTTTTGAAAACCAACTTTTGAATTATTTTCTTCGTGATAGTTTTATTGGCTACTTAATTTTTACTTCATTATTTGGCTTTCTTTGTGCTTACTTTGCTTTTCCCCAAGGCTTTAAGTTGAAAGCTTAGACTATTAAATTTTAGACTGTCATATTCAGTATTATAAGCATCTTTGGCTATTAATTTATCTCAAAGTACTATTTTAGATGTATCCACAATTTATGTTCTGTGGGAATTTTCCTCTTTAGTTGTATTTTATAGCTTCTTTGTGACTTTTTTGATCTTTAATTCATTTTAGACAATCAACATAGGAATTTTATATGCCTACTATGTGTTAGGGTCTTTTGTAGACCTTCAGGATATAGCAATGCAAAGGTCCTCTATGGCAGTGAAGCCTGTTGTTACCTGTCCACATCCCTTTGGCTCAACTTTGAAGTCCTTACAGACTTTCCCATATATGCAAACATTTTCCTGCATCTTTCTTCCCAGGAACATTCTGTAGCCACAGAAGTAAGCTGGCCATACAGACAGTACAGCATCAGTATGCCAGATGTGAGTGTCAATCAATGCAGTATGGGGTGATTCTGAGGCACACTCTCCTTCTCTCCTCTAAGATTTCCCAGTGGGATGGGACTTCAGTTTTTCCAGTGGTAACCTGCTCAGTAACACACATTGTGACTTTCCCCTGATTCCTTTCTCACTGAGGATCACTCACTGTGATGCTTAGTATCACCTTTTAAATGAACTACTTGCACACACATTTTTAGTTCAGGTCAACTCATGAAAGTGACATTCTAGTAGGAGAGTGTAATCATAAAATATTTGACAAGATGATACATGCTATGGAAAAACAGATCAAGGTAAAGAGCATTGGAATGATAGGTGACCAATTTTATATAGGTTGGTACAGGTAGGCATTATTGAGAAAATAGCATTGGAGTGAAGATAAGGAGGTGACAAATTTACTCAAGTGATTTCTGGGGGGAGAAGAATTCCAGTCAGAGGTACCTGTCAGTATACAGGCCTGTGTATGTGAGTGTATGGTATGTACTTGGTGTGTTTGAGGAACAGCAAAGACCTCAATGTGGCTGGATGTGCAATGTAGGATTGTAGGAAAGAGCTTAAAAAGGTAGTGGAACCAGTTGACATTAGGCCTTTTAGGCCATTATGATTTTGGTTTTTATCATGATTGGGGAAGTCACTGGAAACACTGGATATGGCTTCTGATGGGACAGAGGTTGGGGGGGAGATGGGTTTTGTTAAAGTGATGCACCTAAGAGAGGGTAGGAATAGTGAAGAGAGTGGGAAGTGGTCACTTCTGCAAATATTTTAAGGGTAGAGCCAAAGGTATTTCCAGATGATTAAATATGGGATGTGAGAGGAGAAAAGGGGTCAAGGATGAATCCAGAGTTTGCCATCACTTATGTGGGAGATTCCCTTTGATCCACATGTTTATTGAATTTGATATTATCAGACTTTTGAAAATTTGAAAATGTATTTTGATGTGTAACACTGTCTTATTCTGATTTTACTTTTTATTTTTATGAATACTAAGAAGGTTGAGTATCTTTTGATATGTTCATTAGCCATTCATGTTTCTTTCCTCTTAAAATGTTTTTAGGGGCCTGGGGTTGTGGCTCAGTGGTAGAGCACACGCCTAGCATGTGTGAGCCCTGGGTTCGATCCTCAGCACCACATAAAAATGAATAAATAAAATTAAAGGTATTGTGTCCAACTACAACTAAATAAAAATGTTTTTAGGAAGTGTCTATCATGATGCTATCATCAAATTGGAAAAAATCTTGAAAGTTTGTATTTTAAAAAACTGATTTCTAGCAGTTGTTTAAAAACAGTTCTAAATC